CACACTTTTCCCTTCCCACAGACTTCCCACTGAGGTGCCTTGATACAGCACTCTGGGAACAGCCTATTCGTTCAGCAATTTCTTTCTGTGTCTTACCCTCTTGCTTGAGGGTGTCAATGATGGCCTTCTGGACAGCAGTCAGGTCGGCAGTCTTACCATGATTGCGGTTTTGAGTAATGAACAAGGCTGGGAGTTTTTAAAAGCCTCAGGAATCTTTTGCAGGTGTTTAGAGTTACGTCGTTGATTCAGATGGTTAGGTTAATAGCTTGTTTAGAGAACCTTTTCATGATATGCTATTTTTTTGGGACAGGCATTTTAGGTTTTCATGAGCTGTATTCCATAATCATCAGTATTAAAACAATTAAAGACCTGAAATATTTCAGTTGGTGTGCAATGAATCTGAAATATATGAAAGTTTCATTTTTATCATTACATAATGACCTTTATCACAATATGCTAATTTTTTGAGAAGGACCTGTATATAGCGCCTTTCTATCTTGTCGAGATACTCAAAGCGCTTTACACTACAATCTGTGTCCACATTTACCCATTCATACAGCACTCTACTAGATCTGTACAAAGCTAATTGAACAAATTATTCTAAAGAGACCAATCAGAGCTTTATCACATTCATACACTGATGGGACACACATCGGAGGCAACGAGGGGTTCAGTGTCTTGCCCAGGGACACTTCGGCATGTGACTGCTGGTGGATTCGAACCCCCAACTCTTACATTGGAGGACGACTGCTCTAACCACTCAGTCACAGCCGCCTCTATAATGAGCTATAACTTCCAGAAGTTGTAACAAGGTGATCAGCTGACCCTGAATCTTGTGGTGTTTCAGCTTCTTCTGTTCCTGCAGGAATGATTTAATTTCTCTGATACTCTGTCTCTGATCACCTGACTCTGTTCTTGCTCCGTGGACTGTGGAACTAAGAGACAGTTGAGCTGTCCATGTTTGAACCGGCAGTTTAGCGTGGGGGGGACCCAGCCGAGTTGCACCCGTTTAACTAGTGTTTTGATCCTTTTAGCATCTTGCTAGTACTTTGCTACTTTTAGCATCAAGCCAGTACTTTGATACTTTTAGCATCTAGCCAGTACTTTGCTACTTTTAGCATCTAGCCAGTACAATTGCTACTTTTAGCATTTATCTAGTACTTTGCTACTTTTAGCATCTAGCTAGTACATTGCTACAATAGGCATCTAGCTCGTACTTTGCTATTTTTAGCATCTAGCTATTAAATTGCTACAATACGCAGCTAGCTAGTACTTTGCTACTTTTAGCATCTAGCTAGTACTTTGCTACTTTTAGCATCTAGCTAGTACTTTGCTACTTCTAGCATCTAGCCAGTACAATTGTTACTTTTAGCATCTATCTAGTACTTTGCTACTTTTAGCATCTAGCCAGTACTTTGCTACTTCTAGCATCTAGCCAGTACAATTGATACTTTTAGCATCCATCTAGTACTTTGCTACTTTTAGCATCTAGCTAGTACAATTGCTACTTTTAGCATCTACCTACGTAGAAATCAGATTAGCTTGCAATAAACATAAAAGGTGACAGCCGTATGTGGAGCCCTGACACGGTTCTTTGTTAAACAGGTTCTTTTTTTTTTTCTTGCTACTCTACGGTGAAACCAGACGTGTTTTCCCTCTCTGCCCCCCCACCCGCTTCCCTGCTGCGCTCTTTTGTCCTGTGAACCCTTAAAAAGCCTCTTTTTTTTTCCTGCATACCTCTTAATTGGAAGGATCAGCTGGTCTCTCAACAAAATCGATCAACTTCTCCCGACAGGAGTCAGGGTAAGGAGGACACTCTGAACTCTAGAGGAACAATTGGATTCATGATGACGACTAGAACCTACTGTTTGGGTTGATGGAATCTGGTTGTCTACAAATTCATGTGGAGGTGTTGAAGCTTGACAGTGTTCAGGTTTTCCCACTTGCAAAGCTTGTAGATGACTGTAATTTTTATCATAGGTACTCTTCAACTGTGAGTGATGGAATCTAAAACAAAAATCCAGAAAAATACAATGTATGATTTTTAAATAATTAATTTCCATTTTATTGTGTGAAATAAGTATTTGATACACCAGAAAAATGAAACTTAATATTTGGTACAGAAACCTTTGTTTGCAATTACAGAGATCAGACATTTCCTGTAGTTCTTGACCAGGTTTGCACACACTGCAGCAGGGATTTTGGCCCACTCCTCCATACAGATCTCCTCCAGAGCCTTCAGGTTTCAGGGCTGTCGCTGGGCCACACGGACTTTAAGCTCCCTCCAAAGATTTTCTATGGGATTCAGGTCTGGAGACTGGCTAGGCCACTCCAGGACCTTAAGATGTTTCCTACGGAGCCACTCTTTAGTTGCCCTGGCTGTGTGTTTTGGGTTGTTATCATGCTGGAAGACCCAGCCACGACCCATCTTCAGTGCTCTTACTGAGGGAAGGAGGTTGTTGGCCAAAATCTCACGATACATGGCCCCATCCATCCTTCCCACGATATGGTGCAGTCGTCCTGTCCCCTTTGCAGAAAAGCATCCCCAAAGAATGATGTTTCCACCGCCATGCTTCACGGTTGGGATGGTGTTCTTGGGGTTGTACTCATCATTCTTCTTCCTCCAAACATGACGAGTGGAGTTTAAACCAAAAAGTTCTATTTTTGTCTCATCAGACCACATGACCTTCTCCCATTCCTCCTCTGGATCATTCAGATGGTCATTTGCAAACTTCAGACGGGCTTTGACATGCGTTGGCTTGAGAAAGGGCACCTTGCGTGCACGGCAGGATTTTAATCCTTGACGGCGTAGAGTGTTACTGATTGTTTTCTTTGAGACTGTGGTCCCAGCTCTATTCAGGTCATTGACCAGGTCCTGCCGTGTAGTTCTGGGCTCATTCCTCACCTTCCTCAAGATCAATGATGCTCCACGAGGTGAGATCTTGCATGGCACCCCAGACCGAGGGAGATTTTCCGTTATTTTGTATTTCTTCCATTTTCTAATAATTGCACCAACTGTTGTTGCCTTCTCACCAAGCTGCTTGCCTATTGTCCTGTAGCCCATCCCAGCCTTGTACAGGTCTACAATTTTATCACTGATGTCCTTACACAGCTCTCTGGTCTTGGGCATTGTGGAGATGCTGGAGTCTGATTGATTGAGTGTGTGGACAGGTGTCTTTTATACAGGTCACGAGTCCAAACAGGTGCAGTTAATACAGGTAATGAGTGGAGAACAGGAGGGCTTCTTAAAGAAGAACTAACATGTCTGTGAGAGCCAAAATTCTTACTGGTTGATAGATGATCAAATACTTATTTCACACAATAAAATGAAAATTAATTATTTAAAAATCATACATTGTATTTTTCTGGATTTTTGTTTTAGATTCCATCACTCACAGTTGAAGAGTACCTATGATAAAAATTACAGTCATCTACAAGCTTTGCAAGTGGGAAAACCTGAAAAATCAACAGTGTATCAAATACTTGTTCTCCCCACTGTATACCATCGAGACTTTAAAGGCAGAAACAACAATTCACGAGTTCTGCCTGACCCAAACTGTGGCCTTGATGCCGGACTTATCTCAACTCCTCCTGGAATGTTTGGAAAACACCCCTCCCTTCCCCAAGGCCGTGGACATGTAACAGAACCTCAACTGAGCTGAAGATGAACGCCACCTCTTATCTGGACAATGGCTGAGGGGGGGCTCTGGACTATGCTATGACTTTCCCTTAAAAATTCTATGTTTTCACCGCCTATATGTAAATGTATAACATCTGTTTATGTTGCTTTGCTGTGGTAGGTTTTTTTGATGCCTCAAATTGTGCCCTGTCTAGGACACGGTGTGAGAGATCTTTTTTTTATACCGTCTCTCCTCATGTTTTCTTTCCTTTTCTTATCTAAGCAAAATATTATTCTGAATAAGAATAAGAAGGCCGCGCTGATTATTTTAGCAGCAGCTTCGTGCACTCCGCCCATCTTCGGACGACTGTACGTACATATTCGCGTTGTATCTCGATGCAATGCCAATAAAGTTTATTCTGATTCTGATCTGAAGTCTAACAGTAGTAGTGACTTTAACTGTGAACACGGAAAGAAAACTAAAACCAGTAAAGTAAAACAGATGAGAACGGCAGGTTCAGGTCGTTCACCCTGAAGGTAAACCTTACAACAAACAGGACTGCCAGAAAGAAAGAAACAGATATGTGATGTGGAGAAAGAGACAGACTCACAGGTAACTTTTTGCTGTTCAGAGAGACTTTAACTCCTTTGCAGGAGCCCGCTACATCATAGGCTCTGCGGGTGAGAAGTGCTACAATGTCCCTGTCCAGTTTCTCCATTTTGAACTTGGACAGGTCGGGCTGGAATGTCACGCAGGTGAAGTCTTCTCCGTCAAAGAACTTGACTTTGGGATCAGCTGTCTTCATCATGTTATTCTGCCAGGTCTGTGGAGGGTCAAACACACCTGCTGTCAGAGACAAGTCCATTTAAAAGTCATTTTAATGACTTACAGTGGACATCATTAGAAACATTTTACTGTGTCAGGGTGATGGATACTGTTCTGATGGGCCCAAACATAAACAATCTACACACATGGTAATGTGCACCATTCTTAAACATCGGCCACCCTTACTGTAACAAGTGACACCCAGTGAGCAAAAACAAGCGTGCTTGCCACGGCTATAAAATTATTAGTCTTACCTAAAGTCTGACAGGCATGTGTCACAACCCTATAAAACACAGCATTTACTTCATTCACAGATCACATGATTACAGGAGAAACACATGAGTCTTCACATCAACTCAGGGCTGCAACCTAAATCGTTTTTCTGGTTGCTGACTGCAGGGATCCTGCTCACCCCCCTGCATGAGATGTAGCAAACAGTGCCCGTGTGGTGAAGCCAGCCTGTCTGTGATTCACCACAAGGATAAACACCACTGCAGCCTCAGTTTACTCAGTTAGGTTTGGAGTTCATGATTCAACAGAAAAACAGAGAACTAAAAAACAAAGAGTATGTTCACCCTGCAGGTCTTCATGCTCAGATCTGATGCTTCTGTGTGGTTATTCGCAAACTTTTCTGATTTCCTGACTGGAATAACGATAAACTATGATCGAGTCCATATTGTTGGGGATTTTAACATACATGTATGCTGCCCAGAGAAACCACTGGTGAAGGACTTTCTCAGCCTCACTGACTCTTAACCTGGTTCAGTGGGTGGCTGGTCCCACACATGAACATGGACACACGTTGGACCTGGTTCTCTCTCACGGCTTGTCTGTGAA